CCCCCCCCCTCTCTCTCTCTTTCTCTCTGTATATGTGTGTGTGCCTGCATCTCTGCTTCTACTTTTAATATTCTTTCCAATTTTATTCGATTTTCCCCGCGCTACGCAACTGCCGCGTCAGCGGAGCGCGTCGGAACAATGAATTCTCCTCCGAAAGCAAAAGCGCCGCGATTGAAACGCTTACTTGGGCGAACGGGACAACGCGCTCGAGGATGATCTCTCCTCGGTAGACGGAATTAAGCCTCCTCAGCTCATGTCTCCCACGCATTTTGATTGACGACGTCAGAAGCGAGAAAACGCACGTCCGAAATTCTTGCGCGTCACTTCCAAATAAAAAGATACTTTTGTATGAAGCAACACTTTAGATCGTTCTGAATATCGTGAAAATACACTGAGAAAAAGATTCTTGCAAAGAACAAAACTGGAAAAAGGCCAAAATTTTCTCACAAGAGAAATGTATGAAATCGATCTATCTTTGTGTTTTCTGGTCTGCTGAACTCGAGTATGAAACTTGAAACTGTCCAAAATGCGGGGAAATTTATGAAAATGCAGTTTTTCCACAGAGACATTTTTAAGTCGCATTTTGAATCGCAGGAGGAGGATGAAGACGAAGAAGAAGAGCGTATGAGAGAGCGAGAGTGAGAGAGCAAGAGAAAGAATCGCGATTTCTTTCCCCGTATCGCGTATCGCGACTTCACGTGCGCGCTTCTTACTCGCGATTATGCAACGGCAGCGGGAGGCGGGGGAGGCGCAGGTGCGCGGCGTTGGTACCTGTTGCACAACCGTATTATCTTCGCTCCTCGCTCCGCCGGTTAGGTAATTAATAACGACAAAGTCCAAGGATACGTGATGCGCGCGCGGCGCCATTAGGCGCGCATCTCGCGCGCTATTAAAGTTTCCTCCTCGTCCTTCTCCTCCTCCTCCTCCTCCTCCACCACCCCCCTTCTCCCCCTCTTGTTCGCTGATGCACTCCCGCGCTCTCTCGACTGACCTTTTCGCAAGTGCAAGGTGCGCACCGAGAGAGAAGGATGCACCGCCGCCGCCGCCGGGGAGGAATCTCTCTCGCTCCCGAGCGACGCGACGCGACGCGCCGTGTCGTAACTTATCGACGTTTATCTCGCGCCTGGCCCCGGCGACGTGTCCGCTCCTCCGTCGTCGGTAAATAGAGATTAACATTCACCACGCAACCGAACGGCCGTATACTCCTCGGGATAATTGCATGACAAAGTGCACGTCCGTAGGACGACGTCGTGCGCGACGTGTATGCACGTACATACGTACGTACGTACCCGCGGATGGACGACGTGCCCCGTGTACGTATGTGCGCGCGTGTACATGCGTGCGTATGCGTTCCATTAAGAAGCGCGGCGCGTTCGCGCCGAGGAACGAGAAAGCTTCGCTGCGGCTGATTAGTTTGGATGCTGCGCGGCCTGGCCGCTATTCTCGCGCCTCCGTTTAGCGATGCGTTTAAGTGCCCCCGGCTCGTTGGGCGTTATTATGTGCCGAACGCGCGCCTCGTCGAGACAACGCGCCCGTTACAATCAGTCGAATGAGTATCGGGGCCGCACGATGAGCAGCTTAAGCAGCACTTTTCGACTGCAAATCCGCGAAGCTGCGAGATTCGGCGCCTTTGGCAGCGCGGAATCTCGGTCATCTCGTTTCTCCTACGCGTCAACCCGTTTCTACCCGGAAATATAGTAAAACACCTAACTATCGACCGCCTTAGTCATTAACACGGCAGGAAAACCTGGTTTTCTCACGATCAATCGCGGTTACTCACAATTTCAGTTGTAAAGTTCTCTCTCTAGTCTCTTTTTAATTAAAATTATTTTCTACTTCAACCATATTTTTCGACTTTTTTAATACGAATATGGTAGTAGTGACATGCACATTAGGTTATAATTAATATTATAGTAGAATTTAATAAAAAAAAGTGGTCTAGAAGATAATTTATAGCAATTATTTCTTTATGCAATTATAGTCACAAATACCAAACATTGTTTCTCAGTATGGTCGCATGAAAAACCAGGTTCACTTCTAAAGTGTCAATAACTAAAGGGGTGTCAATAATTGAGTGTTTCACCCCTAGGGATAATTAAAAAAAATAACTGGCGTGTTAATGAGCACGACGAAAGGGGGAAGAATGGCCGATCCGTTGCGCGAGTTTGCGAGCTACTTTCTCCTCCGTAATTCCGCGGGGGTGAACAATCTCGCGGCCGTTCACCGCGTCATTTTGCGTTAGACGCGGTGCTGGCTGCTTGATGCGTTTCTCGGTCGCACCTTTGATTCCGATAAGGCATGATAGGTAGGTGAGCAGGTAGCTAGGTAGGCAGGTAGAAAGGACAGAGAGAAAAGGAGAGAGAGAGAGAGAGAGAGAGAGAGAGAGAGAGAACGAGGAGAAGCAACGACACACGACGACGTATATCGCGCCGTCAAAATCGCGTTATATTGTTAGTCGCGTACGAGCGAATCCTCCACCTCCATCTCCTCCTGCTCCTGCTGCCACTGCGCGCACCCACACCCGCAGCACCCCGCGTGTCCCCATCCCCCGCGCCGCCGTCGACATAAAGTACGTATCGCATTAGCGCGTTAACGCCAATGCGTTAGCCGCTCGGCCGGCGCCGAATGGCGGCCGGGATAAACGAGGATAAAATGACGGGCGGGGGTGGCCACGAGGCGGTTGGACGTGAGGAAGGGTGTGGAATTGTCACCGATTGAAAACAACGCGCGTCGCTCACGTAGGAACGAAGAGGGTGGGCGGAGGGGGACAGAGGGGGAGACGACGAGCGAGCGAGCGAGCGAGCGAGCGAGCGAGCGCGGGCGGTCGGGACTGGCGCGGGACGGATAGAATTGACGGGGACGTGCGGAGAGAGACCGCGGCACACAGGGGGGATGGTCGCGCCGGGAGTGCACCAGGGGGTGCATTCTATGGGGAAGCACCGAACAGTGTCCCGCTGCGTTCGATTACAACGTCGGGCGTAATAACCGAATTGCCCACGGCCCGTTAAAGCGTTTACACCGCTTGACGGATGATCGACCACGGTGACAACTCGTTTCGGGTAATATATGAATATGGACCGTGCGTTAACAGACTCCCCCGGTCGCGGTGGAAATGGCCGACGGCGGTCGTGCCTTATTTCGGGATAAATAACGCGGCCGCGAGAGGGTCTCTTTCTCTCTTTCTTTCTTTCTCTCTCTCTCTCTCTCTCTCTCTCTCTCTCTCTCATATCGGTGGAAAAGTGGAAGTGAGTTTTGTGCGCCGGTTTTCTTACGCTTGTTGGTGATATTCGGAAGCGGCGAGGCGTTAAGAAGGCGACGTGAACCAGAGTCGAGTTTATAATGACGACACACCGATGGAGTCGACTCGACTCGAGCTTTCTCAATGGGGGTTGAGGGTTCAACGAGCTTGGAAATTCGTCCGTTTTTTACTGGGGTTATTGTGCACGAAAAAAATACAGGCAGAAGGGATGCGTTCCTCTGTTGCGAGGAGAAATTAATTTGGCGTTTTGTTCTCTCCTCATATATTATCTATTCGTTCTAAGAATAAAATTCTCCGCTCTCTTTCATTGGATACAATTGATTACTCTCACCTCGAAAAATCGTATAACGACTTCTGTGCTTATCGCGAATAAAATTTGCAACGCGTCAGAGTACTCGAGTGCCAAGAAAGCGTGCCATACATGTCAACGACGATATCATTGCCGAAGTGTCATATTTCCAGCACAATTATATTGTGAAATTGAGGAATAAGTCAAACAACGCTCTTGCGCTCCTAAAAATAAAAAAATTGCATTAAACCTCGAGGAGAGAACCGAGAGTCGAAGAATTAAATCGAATCTCATCGTGGGCTCGTTTCCGCACGATTAAAATACCAAAATCGTCGCGATTCTCTCTCTTTCTCTCTTTCAGTCGCGTCATTTAAGTCACCCCAATTTTGATAACGACGGCCGCATATCGGATTATAACAATCACTCGTAATGACCGTGATGTTCACCCGTTAAACTGTTTATACCCGTTTACACCAGTATCGGGTGATCGATCAACGCGGCGGGTCGTCGCGTTTGTAACGAGAACGTAATTCCCATTCTCTCGCTTGCATTCAATAAAGATCATGCTAACGCGCAGTGACGAAAATGACACGTACGGGTGGAACAGAGATCACTCACGGCCGCGAAATTGTTTTCCGATTCCCCGACTTCGACCACAGTTTAGTTTTTACCCGCGCCGCCAAATTCGGCCTTTTGAATAATTCGACTTATCGTTAATAACCTCGCCGGCGTCTTCGACGCTCCCTCATCGCGACTGGGTGAACGACTCCCGGCGGTTTTATTTTCGGACAGCGCGCGAGATTATGTCGTCGCGCCGTCAACTATGGTTGTGCGTTCTCTCCTGCCGCCTTAACTATAACTCCTAATTAGTCGCGCGGGGTCGCAGTGACCTACTCTAAAACAGCGTGCATGAAGAAAACGCCGAGTTAAAATTAAACCGAGCGCCGCGGTGCGTGGGAGATTAATAAATCTTTGTGACACGCCGTGAAGTGAGGCAAAAAACGCGTGTAACGCGTGTCACTATGACACTGCGTTGCGTGGCGTCGTTAATCGCGCCAATCCAGGTGATTCAATACAACCGATCTCGAATTATCGTCCCTCCCTCCCTCTTGTGTCTTCTTACCACCGCTGCTTGGTCCCGCGACGAGGAGATAATCGGGAGTTTCGAGTTAAAACCGACATCGCGCTGAAACTGGTCCACGTGGTCGACCAGCCCTCTCCTCCCTCTCTCAGGGTGCGGGCAAACGATCGACGTCCCGCGTGATAACCGAATCGCGCACGGATCATTAAAGCGATTAAGCAGGCGGCGATTGCCATTTAGTCGTCGCCGCGAGCCAAACGAGGAGAGTCACCCTCGCGCTTTCGCGCGGAAGTCGCTTCAAGATGAATCTCCGCGATGCGGAGAGAGTCCTTGCGGCGCCTCGCTTCGTTCTCCGCTCGCGCGCGCGCGCGTGCCCGATTAATTGCAGTCATTCGATCAAGAACGACATCGCGGCGCATTGATAATGCGGCATTACAAATGACACGCATGCCGGCCGCGATATAACCGAGCTATAAATTATACGGGGCTTCGAGCCCGCTGTACGTACACACGACGGCGCGCCGCGGCGCGTCGCGTCGCATCGCGCACGGCAGAGATGTGTGCCGGCGAAATTGATGTTTTTATTGTTAGTGTTATACGGCACGATTAATGAATTATCGGGCGTGCGTGTGCGTGTGCGCGCGCGCGCGCGCGTGTGTGTGTGTGTGTTGCGTGCGTGTATGTATGTGTGTACGCCCGCGGAGAGTCGGTCGCTCGGCCGGCCTATCCGCGCCGCAATTGAAATGTCGCCTACGTGAGTCGATCGAGCGAGTAAATCTCGTTTATTTATGGCGCAGCTCGACGCGGCGTGCGTCCCGTAACGACTTGGGATGATTTAATTTATCGATATTAGGTGAGCGAGCCGTTTCGAGCTCTCCATCTCTCCCCCCCCCCTCTCTCTCTC